CTGCCATCCCAGGGTTGGGCTGCAGGATTTAATTAACATGGGGATTAATTAAACCCGGGGAGAGCAGGGACAGGGAAACCTGACCTTTCCCGGGAATTCCCTGGTGGATTCCTTGTCCTGCTGCCTCCTCCCTCTGCAATTCCCTTCTCCAGGTTTTATGGAAAAAATTCCCTTTTCCAGGTTTTCTGGAAAAATTTCCCTTTTCCAGGTTTTCTGGAGCCTTCCCTCTCCTCCCTTCCCAAATTCCAGCAGCTCCCAGCCGAACTTCCCCACCTTTCCCAATCCTTTGGGTCCCTGCAGTTTCCCACAAGTGTTTCCACACGAGCAGTGGGGCTGGAGCTGCGGACACAAAACATTCCCTGGATTTTTCCCACATGGAAAATGCGATTTTTTTTCTTCTCCCTGGACGTCTGTGGTGCCTTGGTGGAACCTCGAGGGACGTCTTGGGGTTTCAGCGCCCCAGACCTGGCTGGAATCCCACATTTTCCTCCAGGAATGACGATCTGGCCGCTCCAGGGTGCAAATTAAATCCTGCAGGATTGGGAATCCTCACTTCGGGACTTAATCCTGACCAGTTCCTACCCCAGGGATCAAACTTGGGGGTCAAACTTGGCAGTCCAGGCTCCCAAATGAACTCCCAAAACCTCCCCGAGCTCCTTTTGAAGGAGCCCCCCTTGGTTTGTGCTCCCTGATAAAATCAGGGTTGGGCTGGACTCGTTTTCTGCAGGTGGGGATGATTCACAGCTTAAGTGTGGGGATCCAGGATTGGGAAAAACAAACCCTGAGCTCACCAGGAGGGCGATGAGGAAAAGGCTTTTGGGTGGATTAAGGACAAAATCAGGGATGACCCCCCTGGAACAGCAAATTTATGGGAAAAGCTGGGGGCAACCACCTGAACCTGCAGGAATAGTTACTGCCTTCTTTCCAGGAGGGGAAAAGAAAATCATGATTAAACCCCAATTTGCAGATTTTTTTTTTTTGCAGGATTGACCCCAAACCTTCTCATGGACATCTGGGGAGGAGTTTCTCCCAGGCCGCTGTTTTTAACCCCACACAAAGCCAGCGGCATCCTCGAGTTGGTGCCGAGGTTTGGTGGCACCGAGGGCTCATTCCCCTTTTCCTGCTGCTGCTCTCCGCTCTTTGCTCCCCCCGAGCTCCTCTCCCGCAGGAAACCGGGAAAGCCGCGGGGGAAAGGATCCAAAGCTGCGGCTCCGTGACCGGGGCGGGGACAGCGCGGGTGGGTGCGGAGCATCCCCGGGGCCGGGGGGAACATCAGTGCTCCGGTGTGGAGGTGTGATGTCCCTGAGAGTCCCGGGTGTGATATCCCGGTGTCCCTAAGAGTCCCGGGTGTGATATCCCGGTGTCCCTAAGAGTCCCGGGTGTGATATCCCGGTGTCCCTAAGAGTCCCGGGTGTGATATCCCGGTGTCCCTAAGAGTCCCAGGTGTCCCTAAGAGTCCCGGGTGTGATATCCCGGTGTCCTGAGAGTCCCAGGTGTCCCTGAGAGTCCCGGGTGTGATATCCCGGTGTCCCTGAGAGTCCCAGGTGTGATATCCCAGTGTCCCTGAGAGTCCCGGGTGTGATATCCCAGTGTCCCTGAGAGTCCCGGGTGTCCCTGAGAGTCCCAGGTGTGATATCCCAGTGTCCCTGAGAGTCCCAGGTGTCCCTGAGAGTCCCGGGTGTGATGTCCCGGTGTCCTGAGAATCTCCAGGTGTCCCTGAGAGTCCCGGGTGTGGTGTCCCCGCCCCCGGGACAGGTCCCAGTGTCCCCGTGGGTCTCCAGGTGTGATGTCCCTGTGTCCCTGTGCTTCCCCAGGTGTGATGTCCCCCCTCAGAACAGCCCCGGGTGTCCCTGTGGATGCTCCAGGTGTGGTGTCCCCTCCCCGGGACAGGTCCCGGTGTCCCTGTGAGTCCCCAGGTGTGAAGGTGACGTCCCTGTGAGTCCCCAGGTGCGATGTCCCCTCCTCAGATCAGTCCCTGCTGTCCCCTCTCGGGGGTGACACAGGAGGGAGGGGTCGGGGGATGCTCGGGGCAATCCCGGCCCCACATTCCCGGTCCAGCTTCCATCGCAGCTCCCACCAGGAAGATTTTCCTTCACTGCTCCTCCAGGTGTTCCTTCACTGTTCCTCCAGGTGTTCCTCAAAACCTGTCAGGCTAAAAACGCACAGCGAAGCAAGGAAAATAACCACGATGGCTTCTGGAGGAGAGGTTTAGAAAGGGACCTAAAAATCAATCCCAGTTCAGTGCTCGGAGCTTTGGGTGCCGCCCCACCCAGAAAAGTCGGGGGCAACAACGACAAAGAAATCATTTATTATATTAATTTAAAAATCATCCCGCTCTTCAATGAATCAGAGCAGCGTGAAGAGTTTGAGCATTTTGGGATCGCTGCACCCCGCGATTATCCGGAGCAATCCCCTCCCCTGGGCACACCTGGCCAGCCTGTCCGGGCCCATCGCTGAATATTTCACCTCTCGACTCAGCTCAGATGCAAATGTTTTGTTGCTAAGGAAGCAGAGAGCGTCTCCACGGAAATTGCGGCGTGTCCCGACCGCGGATGCTCCGCTCAGCATCTTTGATCTCCTCCTGGGCCTCTCGGGGCGGCTCCCGGCTTTGTTTGGGAAATATTTCCAGCTCCCCAGGGAGGAGGAGAGCCCCGGCCGGGCTGTGCTGAGCTCAATCCCCACCCCAAATTTTGAATGAATCCCAAATTTTCGGCTGCTGGGCTCGTGCAGCCCCCGCTGCCCGTGCGGAGCATCCTCTGTCCTCTCCCCGGGTGTGTTTGGTGCTGTGACACCCGGAAAGCCCCAAATGAGGGGAAATGAGGATTTTGTGAGCGCAGGAATAAACTCCGCAGGGTTTCGGGAGCAGCTCCTCTCTGCCCTGAGCGGGCGGGACAGGCAGGAGACACAAAAATCCTTTTGGGGATACAGAACAAAACCTGCCGGGAGGAGAAGCCGCCGCTCCCTGGAGCTCATCCCTGCCCAGCATCGCCGCTTTCTGCTCCCGGCACCATCCCCGGGCTCCCCCGGGACCCTCCCGGGCCTTTCCCGGGACCTTGGGACGCTCCGGGTGTTTCTTTGGGGCTGGCTCAGCCCAGGAGGGACCGGGACCGCTCCTGTTCCCCCTTCCCAACAAAAACCCCGGAGCTGCTGGCAAAGGTCGCGGCCCTGGTGATGCTCGAGCCCTTCACAGGGGGAAAAAACAGGAGTTTGGGGTGGATTGTTAAAGAAAAAAGAGGTTTGTATATTTTCTATATAGAATTTAAAAGTTTAATAGACAATTAGGAGATAAAAGTAAATATACAGATCCGGCCGGGTGTCTCTGTGTTCATCTCACTAACAAAGGATTGTCCCTTAAAAACAGAACCCTGCTACATATCCATGAATTCTCTATAAATTATTTTATTTTATTTTATTTTATTTTATTTTATTTTATTTTATTTTTTCTTATTTTATTTTATTTTATTTTATTTTTTCTTATTTTATTTTATTTTATTTTATTTTTTCTTATTTTATTTTATTTATTCTTATTCTTATTTTATTTTATTTTACATTATATTATGTTGCATTATAAATACAAATAAGAGTATAAATATATAAACACAAACATAAATATAAACATTTATATATTTATATAAATATAAATAAACATATAAATATAAATATAAACAATAAATATTAATATAAACAAACATATAAATATAAATTATAATATATAAATATAAATATAAATATAAATATAAATATAAATATAAATATAAGTATAAACACAACCTGGCAAGCCCCATGGTTTTATTTCAAAACTCATATTTGGGTAAACACTTTTCCTGCACCATCCTGGGAGATTTCCCCGTGTTTCCCTTGCATCATTCCGTGCCCAGCAGAGCAATCACATCATTCAATTAAAAATTATCCTTTGATTGCCCCGAGGGCTGGGAGCAGCACTTGGGAAACGCTCATTTAATAACTGAATTAATCTGCAATCAGCGTTCTTTAGCGCTTAGGCAGGGCTCTTCTCCGGGAGAGCAAAACCCAAGCTTTAGAATTTATCCTGTTTAATAGAAAATTGGGAGATAGAAATAAAACAAAATGTACAAACAGGCCCTCAGCATTCAGCCAAGAGAACACCTTAATAACAAAAAATAGTTCTTCAAAATAGAAATTTATCACATATTCATAAATTCTCATACACAATTCAAACATTCCTCTTAAGTTTTAGATGTTTTTTTGTTTAGTTTCGACTCCCCCCTCCCCAACAGATCAATCTTGGCCCCGTTGATTCTCACGCTCTCTGATATAAAATAAATTCTTTATTTAAATTTATCTCTGATAAATTCCCGTCACCGCTGTCTTCATCTGGATAAAATCATCCAAGAATTTAGGGGGGGTTTCTGGCTATCTTTTCATTCTCTGGGTTATATGAACAAAAATAATTTCTATTTTAATACCATGCTACAACCTAACATATAAATCTATATAAATATATCTATATATTATAGCACTATTTCTAAGTTTTATCAATAACAGAAATAGAAGGAACCATTTTAATACAGCAAAGATTTCCAACATTGTACGCACAGCATTCATTTTAATATTTGCGAAAAGCCGATAATGTAAATTAAATGTAAATATGTGTTTATAACAGCGGGCTTGGTGATTCCGTGCTGTCCGCAGCTCCTTCACCGCGCCTTTGTTCATTAATGCGGGGATTCCTGTGGGCTCTGCAGCGCCTTCGGACCCCTCGGCTCCCCAGAAATCCTCCAAAGTCCTCCAAAATCACCCAAAATCACCCAAAATCCCCCCAAAACACCGAGCGCGCGCTGGGGACACGTGGAGGGAGCGGCCGCGGCTGCGGCGCCGAGGGGCGGGGCCATGCAAATGAAGGGCGTGGTCACTAATACCGAACAAGGTAATGTGGGCGTGGTTATGCAAATGAGGCGCCCGTTCGGGGCAAGGGGCGTGGTTATGGTATGAACGCGTGTGCATGGGGAGGGGGCGTGGTTATGGAAATGAGCGCACGCGTATGGAATAAGGGGCGTGGCTTGCCGTGTGGGCCCCGGCGCGCCCGCCCAGAGCCCTCGGAGTCCGGAGAGCGCGGCGGCGGCCGCAGAGACGGAACCGGCACCGGCACCGGCAGCTCCTCCATCACCGCCGGGCCCTCCGCCACCGCCGGGCCCTCCATCACCGCCCCCTCCGCCATGAACTCGCTGCTCTTCGGGGAGATGGCCCGCGCCTTCTCCCCCGCCGCCGCCGCCGCCGCCTCCTCCTGCCCGCTGGGCCCCGGCGGCGGCGGCCCCGCGGCGGCCGGGGGGGGCCCTCCGGTGACGGCGGCGCTGCGGAACGACCTGGGCTCCAACATCCATCTGCTGAAGGGGCTGAACGTGCGGTTCCGCTGCTTCCTGGCCAAGGTGCACGAGCTGGAGCGGCGGAACCGGCTGCTGGAGAAGCAGCTGGCGGCCCAGCAGAGCGAGCGCGACCGGCGGCTGCGCTACAAAACCTTCTCCCGGGACCAGGCGGTGCAGACGGACGGCGGGACCCCGGCGCTGGTTCCTCCTCCGGGCCCCGGGCACGGGGCTCTGCCCTCGCCGCCGCACTACGGCCGCTTGCCCGGTACCATCTGGAGCTACACCCAGGTGCGGCGCACCGGAGGCGGCGGCCTGGAGACCGTGCAGGGCCCCGGCGTGTCCTGGGTGCACCCGGACGGAGTCGGGGTGCAGATCGACACCATCACCCCCGAGATCCGCGCCCTCTACAACGTGCTGGCCAAAGTCAAGCGGGAGCGAGACGAGTACAAGAGGAAGTGAGTGATGGGGGATGCGGGCGATCCGCGCTGCACTGCGGGGAAACGGGGCCAGCCCTCCCCGGGAGCGCTCGGGGACAGCGCGGAGGACGCGGGCACCGCGCTCCCCCTCCCCGGGGGTCCTGGGGGGTTTTTATTCGTGCCTAAAGGGGAGTTGGACCTCGTCTTGGTACCCAGGAAACTGTGGGGTCCTTCCCTGGGGGAGGGGATGGAGAGCCTGGATCCAGTGTCAGCTTAAAATATAAAAAAAATTATATATATGTGTATATATCTATCTATATCTATCTATCTATCAATCTATCTATATCTATCTATCTATCTATCTATCTATCTCTATATTTATCTATATATATCTATATATATCTATATATATATCTATATATATGTATATATGTGTGTATATATATATATACATGTGTGCATATATATATATAGACACACACATATATATATATTTTTTTTAGAAGGGAAAAAATCCGTTATTAGTATTGCATAGTTGCTCCTAAATTTAGCTCGCCTTCATTTTTTTTCACATATATATATTTTTTTATTTTTTTTTGTGGTCTGATTACTCCAGTAGTCGGTTTGTGTGCGTGCCAGCTCCACGAAATTAGCTCAGCGCTGCAATATTTGGGTTGCAAATACTGCAGGGCAGCGTTTGCGCTCCGAGATGTTGCTCGGAATTAGGCAAAACAAAAGCCTTTTGTAAAGCTCGCTGGTCTGGAGGTCTCCCCTGGCCTGTGGCAAGCCCTGGGCTTGGGATGGTGATGGATGGCGTTCCCTTGGATTGCTGCTTGGCTGAGATGGAGGCCAGAAGGGGGAAAAAAAAAAGTAGTTTGGCTTCTGCAGGGAGATTCGTGCATTGTGTGAGGAGCTGCTGTCCTTCGTGGGCTCTCTCGGCCGGAGTTTGGGCGTGTTTAGCTTTAAAATGATTAAAATTCAGGGTTTTGTCGTGCAGAAGGCACCGAATCCGCGCTGGTTTTGCGCATTTCCCGGCTCTGGGGAGCGCGGATCCCTCCAGCCCAGCTTTGCAGACTGCGGTGAGCTCTGCTCAACCTCCCCCGCTGGAACCAGAGACATTTTCTGGGCAGCTTTGGCTGTTCCAGAGAGGAGCTGTGGCCTTTTCCTCACCCACTGCAGCTCCTGGGGCTCCGCTGCGCTGCTCTCGTGGCTGGAGATGCTGGAAAGAAGGAGTTGGGCTCTGTTTTCCAGGCTGGAGCTGTGGTGGCACGGGCTGGGTTTGGTTTGTGTGGCTGAGGAAAGGGAGGAGCGGAGGAAGTGCTGCTGCTTTGAGAAAGGGGGATCCCACACTGGCTGGGCTGTTTTGTACCACAAAACTCGAGGCTGTTTCTCCTTTTCCATGGATACTTGATTTATTCCCTCTTCTGATGGAAGAGACCTGTGGGCCTTCAGGTTCAACCTTTCTGTTGATTTTTCTGCTTAAAAAAAAAAAAATCTGCTTTTTTTTAAAATTTTTTTTTATTTTTCTCCCTCTCAAGGGTTGCATAAACCAGATAAATCCAGCAGAGCAAAGGGGAACCTCAGATCTTATTCTTGCCCTTGAAAGAGCTTTTCCTTGTGTGGGGGAAAAATAAATAAAATAAATGAACATCAACCCATGCCAGCTTGGTGATGTTGTACCTTCAGCGTGGGATTTTTACTCTGGAGCTGGAATTGCTCCCAGCTCCGTGACCTTCAGTCCCACATGGACAGCACCCACTCGTTTTGGGGTTTGAGCTGCTTTGGGTGAGCTCAGAGAGGAGATTTTGCTGTTTGATTTTTCCTGCTGGGGTTTAATGCCCTGAGCTCTGGGGGATGCAGGGTTTGGGATGGGGTTTGTTCTCCCTGGAACCTCTCTGGGGTTCCCTTATCCAGATTTATTTAGGGAGCTCAGCTCCAGGTGGAGCAGGAGCCTTGTGCCTGGCACAAACCCAGCTGAGCCACCAGGAAAAGAAGGAAAAGAAGTATAAAATAAAGGAGGAAATGAAAAGAAATGTAAAATAAAGAAGGAAATGAAAAGAAATCTAAAATAAAGGAAATGAAGAAAAGAAATGTAAAATAAAGAAGGAAATGAAAAGAAATCTAAAATAAAGAAGGAAATGAAAAGAAATGTAAAATAAAGAAGGAAATGAAAAGAAATCTAAAATAAAAAGAAAAGAATCTTTTATTGCTCAGAGCCAGCAGAGCCTTTGTGGAGCAGCCAGGCCTTGTAACCTCACCCAGGAACCACCAAGGATCCTTAAGGAAATAATGATAATTCCATTTATTTCCTGGGCCAGGAGAGGCTTTTCCCCCTTTTCAGGGTGGCCAAGGAGGTTGTGGCTGTGAGATGTTTGTGCTCTGAGTGTTTGGATGTGGATGAACAGGACACCAGGGCAGTGCTGATATTTCTGCTGCTGTTAAACTCACTCGTGTCCCACCTGGGAATTGGAAAATGCAGGGGGGGAAATAATTCCTTTTGTTTCCTTTCTTTAAGAGGAAAAGTTGCCTTGCTGCTGTAAAATAACAGCGGGAGATCATCCAGGATGTTCCTTCCAATGGAATTCCGCCTGTGCAATTCCTGGGATTAGGAATGGCTTCATTTGGGGGAAATATATTTAATTTCTTTCTTCCATTCCCTAAAATAATTTTCCTCAGACAACAAACTGGAGCTCTGAGAGGGCACACAAATCATATTTTACCCCTCCTTTTGTTTGTGTCTCAAGCAAAATGAGGAGCCCAGCAGATATTTCGGTCCAAAACTGCTTTTGCTTTTTCCTCCAGGTGATGTTTTACCCAAATGATGGATAAATTTGCATCTTTTCTACTTTTTGTGTTCTCTTAATCTCATATTTATATATATTTTTTTTTAGCAAGGATCATGATTTTACACGAGTTTATGACTTCATGAGGGAGTTAACAACTGGAGGAGTTTTAGAGGAAAAATAAAGTTAAATAAATTTTTAATTTTTTCCAGCTATGGAAAATTAATTTAGCAGAGCTTTTGGCCAAAGATCCGACTCCAAATCAGATCATTTATTATTTATCAGATATTTTGTTATTTTTACCTATTTCTACCCTTTTAGCAGGAAAAACCAAAATAGTCTCTCTGCAAAATTGCATTTTTTCAGTCAACTCAATAAAAAAAACAAAATACCTTCAGGGACAGTTAATTGAAAATGGAGCAGAGTGACATTTTAAAAATTAAAACGCTCTGGTGAAGGGATATTTTTTTTTCCTAGACAGAATAATGCTACTATAAATAATAAAGTAATAATTAATAAATAATTAGTAAATAATAACTAGTAAAATAATAATGATAATGATGATAATGATAATAATAGTAAAAATAATAGTAATAATAATAATAGTAATAATAGTAATAGTAATAATGATAATATTAATGATAATGATAATGATGATAATGATAATAATAAAAATAATAGTAATAATAATAATAGTAATAATAGTAATAGTAATGATAATGATAATGATAATATTAATAATAATGATAATAATAATGATAATAATGATGATAATGATAATGATAATGATAATGATAATAATAATAATAATAATAATAATAATAATAATTTACTGGTGAGGTTCTGTCCTGTTTGTCACAGCCCCGGTGCCAGGGGGGTCACAGGAGCCGGGGGGTGTCCGGGATGTGTCCCCAGCCCAGACTGAGGTGTCACCTTCCCAGAGAGCCTGCGGGAGCTGGCATGTCCCTGAGCGCTGGGACAGCGGGGACACCGGGACAGGGACAGCGGGACAGGGACAGTGGTGACAGTGACAATGGTGCTGTGACAGTGGTGACAGTGGGACAGTGACAGTGGTGGCAGTAGTGGTGACAGTGGTGCTGTGACTGACAGTGGTGGCAGTGGCAGTGGTGCTGTGACGGTGGCAGCACAGGTGTGACAGTGACAGCAGTGACAATGACAGTGACAGTGGTGTGTGGCAGTGACAGTGACAGCAGTGACAATGAAGTGACAGTGGTGTGTGGCAGTGACAGTGATAGCAGTGACAATGACAGTGACAGTGGCGGCACAGCAGTGCCAGCACAGCTGTACCAGTGCCAGCAGTGACAGCAGTGACAATGCCAGTGCCAGCACAGCAGTGACAGTGCCAGCAGTGCCAGTGCCGGCACAGCAGTGACAGTGACAGCAGTGACAGTGCCAGTGCCAGCACAGCAGTGCCAGCACAGCAGTGACAGCACAGCAGTGACAATGACAGTGCCAGCAGTGCCAGTGCCAGCACAGCAGTGACAGCACTGACAATGACAGTGCCAGCACAGCAGTGCCAGCACAGCTGTGACAGTGCCAGTGCCAGCACAGCAGTGACAGTAGTGACAATGACAGTGCCAGCACAGCAGTGCCAGCACAGCTGTGACAGTGCCAGTGACAGCACAGCAGTGACAGCAGTGACAATGACAGTGCCAGCAGTGCCGGCACAGCAGTGACAGTGCCAGCAGTGACAATGACAGTAACAGTGACAGCACAGCTGTGACAGTGCCAGCAGTGACAGTGACAATACCAGTGACAGCATTGACAGTGACAGCAGTGACAGTGCCAGTGCCAGCACAGCAGTGACAGTGCCAGCAGTGACAGTGCCAGTGCCAGCACAGCAGTGCCAGTGCCAGCAGTGCCAGTGCCAGCAGTGCCAGCACAGCAGTGACAGTGCCAGCATTGACAGTGACAGTGCCAGCAGTGACAGTGACAATGCCAGTGCCATGTGTCCATCCCAGGCCGCGCTGTCACTGTCACCCCCCAAGCCGTGCCCTCAATCCCGGGCTGGCTTTATCCACCCCCATTCCCTGCTCCAGATGTTCGCAGCCCTCCAGATGTTCCCGCTGCTGCCCCTCCAGCTGTGCTGCTCAGAACGGTTTCACCCCAGCACGGATTTCACCGGCAGCATTCATAAACCCCCCTTGGAAAAGAGATTATCTCAAATTATCTCAAATCTGCTGCAGCTGCCAAGGACAAAGATTATCATTGTCAAAGCGTCAAAACTCGCCGGAG